TGCTCAATGGCACCAAGGGCTCCCATCCAAAGCCTTAAGTCCTAGTTCAGCATGTATATTGATTTGAAAGCTTGAGCGAATTACTAATGCTTTTTGATGATGCTACCCCAGTCACTTTCATTTAGCACGTGTTGCAAGACCTGTTAACCCAAAAGATTTTGGTGTTGAAGATGCTGCGCAGCGTCAGTAGTCGGCAATTTACAAGTTGCAGAAGGAGCTGATTCTTTGTTGCCATCCGTAGATCCCTTTCAGATGTATCTGGAGATAAGCACGGTTGGATGTTGCGTGAATTGCTCTCCTTATAGTAACATCATCTGCAGATATTTGCAAATATTTGCGTCGGAGTTGGAATGGTTGCTGGGACGTCATTAATGTAGACTACAAACAGTAGCGGGGTTACGTCAGGTTTCTTGAGGTACAACACTGGAAATGCACAGGCTTTAGTACTGTGTGTGGACAGGGAATTTTGGATGCCTTCGGTATAAGCTTTCGAAGACGAAGGAAGTGGTTAACCCTGTTGATAAACTTAGGAAAGCCCAAGTACATCACATTTAGTAGCATATCTGCCTTAGTCGCCCTCATCAGTTCCGAGCAAGATGCAGCTTGATGAGACAAGATCATTTGCATCTGGAACAACGTTGAACACTGCAAATTAATTGCAAACCTTGATTGAATCACATCATTTTAACCGCGGTTACAGATTCCTTCACTTTTAGAATAAAAATAACAGGAGGAAGACCAATAGGTCGGTATATGGCAGAAACCGCTCACTTGGTTACGACAGCTGCCGGGGGTAGAGAAGATGCTGTTTAGGATGACGAGGTCTAGTTGGACCAGGTAGAGCGAAGGTACCATGATGTTCGTAGCCACTGAGCCAACCTGCGGGAGTGATGCACCCACGTATTCATACCAGCAGTCGTAAAGCCGATGACCGTCTTTAGCGGTGATATTCTAGGGTTAACCTTTCGTTTGTTATTCACATACATGTAAAGCAATTTGGTGTTGCTCGAAACTTAGGTACCATGGTCTCCGGCCATTAGTGCTTGCCGTCTCCTTTTTCTGATTCTGATATGGGGCACCACATGGGCTTAATGCATGTTGCAATTATATCTCCTCACTACTATTGATCCATTCACTTGTCCTTCTTAGGATCCAAGTGTTAGTCTGATGCCATGTCCCCAATGGTACCACTTTGAGGCTGCTTGTATTACTTAGTCAATCTGAAAATGCCTGGTAGTTAAACCAACAGGGAACGATAAGGAAGCAAAATGACACGTAGTATGTGTCTGGATGACATGTTTCCAAACTGTCAGATTAGCGAACACAAACTGTTGCGCTGTGGATAATTGCAAATTGCAGCCATTAGATGCGAGGATCGCTTTAAATGGTGAAAAGTTCTTGAAGAATAGACTGTCGAATTCACACAATGAGTCGAGATAGCTAAGGCAAATATACCGCATTTTCTACTCAAGTAACTGGAAAAAAGTACCAGAAGTATCTCGAATCAATCGTAACTAGCAAGCACGTGAACTGACGAAAATTCGGTAGTTGTCCTCTGATTGCTGCTATTAAGTGTCTAAGTAAGTCGACGTTGTGGTCATACGAAAGGGATACATCATGAGTAACCAGACTGACAAGGACATTTTTACGTCTGCGCGGATGTGATTTATTGAATATTTGTCTGTTCTCATCTCAAATTACCAGATAGAAACCAACACAAGTGGAGTGTATAGCCTGACTGGGTAAGTGTCAGAGGATTGTTGGTCTGTAGGTTCTGGTTCATGATAGCAGGCGTACTGCAATCCACTTCGTTATAACTGTAAGTAACCAGACATGGGTGATAGAATAACGCCTTGGTGACGCGCTTGCTGCCGTCCTCAGGTTGGGCAAACCTCAAACATCTATTAGGTGTACAAAATATACGTGACAGTACTGAAACGTGAATGTATATTACAAAGGAGAGCAGCTAGAATTAATTCGCTGCTCAGAAAGAAATAAACGGTATCTGGGCCACAGAGGATTACGGTTCACTACCATAACTGGTTAGCTTCAGTGCAACGGAACAGATGTTCGCCTTGCTTCTGCAATTGCAATGACCCAGATTTGGCTACGGTACATTGAATCACTCTAACTTATGACGAATTCCGTTGGGCCGGACTGATGTGACAGTGCACGATGTTGGCAGTAAGCAACTGCTTAGCTCGTCATGTCCCAATACCGAGAGCATTAGTATTTGAGTAAAAAAATAGAACAAATCAATAGTCGTTACGCCCTAAAAACCACAGTAACACAAAGTAAACTAATTTATGCTGGCTTCGCCAAGTGACGTTGGTACTAAGAATGTTAGTGGTCGTCAATTAGTTAAAAACATTACACTCAAATGATCAGAGTTGTTTCTTTTGGAGTGATTATTCCGAAGCACACTTTGTGTGAACGGGTTGTGATGGGTAGTCTCAGTCAGGACCACAATTTGCTGTGTACTGAACCATGATCGCTTCTGTCACTGGGGCCGTATCTTAACCAGACAAATATTCTCGTGCTATTACGCAATTGATTTTCTATGGCTAACTTTGTCAATTTAGACCAAGCAAAAGCCTACCAATTCTGATGAATCGATGCAGTGGAATACAGGGTGGTAGATGGCGTCAGGTTCCGGAAACATGTGCAACCAAAACCTGCCGCTTGACGACAAACAGCATACCATGAGACGCCTCATAGGGACTTATGCAGTTGTAAGAGTAGCAGTCTATTCGCACACGTAGACTTAAAGGTTTCCCGTGCTCATCTTTGTCATCGTTTGCTTTGGTGGATAGAATTATTTGATGCAGTTATTATTCACTTAGTTCTGCTTATATTCTAAATGACGCGTGTGCAACCTTAATGGATTTATACGCTACCATTTCGGCTCTAGACATTGTATTGCCTTTAAGTTGATAAAAGCATTGAAACGCTAGCGGATTGATACACTTACTTGGTTAATGCACCGATATTCACCGTCGAATTACTGTCCAGTCGCGGAAACGCTGGTTACTTCTAATAACCAGCTAGCCACTGAAGTGATTACCCCAAGTAAGCTGGTTTACCAGTTCGGTGTTTAAGCTGTCCTGTGAACTTCAGTAGTTCAATAGGATATGAAGGGATAAAAGTACTAGCTTTACGGGACCCCCAGAATGGAAACTGCCAAAATAAAAAATGAGGTAAAGCGTGAACGATCGCTAATCCTAATATATCAGTTTGGCATACTGATTGCATAGCATTTATCATCTGGATATATATCTATTTGCCTTCCGAATAAAACTTTCCAGTACTTGTCACACTTAGGCAAACAGGCACGTGGTGAGTCCTTTAACATAGACTACCCTGTCTACCAATTATTTAAAAGTTTTAGAATGCGATGTGATCTGCCTTAGCGTAACAATATGTATGCTTCTCTCTTGTCTTTGACACAAGATATGAAGTATAGACGTAGGAGATTAGTGGGGCATTATCTAGTTAGTACAGTTTAATAAATTCTAAGTTCCACTTACTAGCTGACCTTTGAACTCATAGTTCACGCTACCATTCGTTGCCACTGTACTATCACGGTTCCATCCTTCTGCTCAAAGAAGCAGTATGCAGGTTCTGGACGCCGTTTATCTTCAATGCTCAACCAGACATTCCGCTTCGACGAACAATGCATTGTTTTCACTCCTGTTGCCGTTTATGACTGAACCAATCTCTTTCATTTTTTCAGATGAGCATACATGGGGTTGTGGTCCAGTCAGCGAGATACTATCTAGTCAATCAAGTAAGTGACTGGAGCACATTCCTATTAGTCTGACTGGTATCCCACACAGTTGACAGTCATTTATCTCCGGATTAAATTAAAAATGGAAAATAAATCACCTCCAATGGCACTGTCCAGTTCGTACCAAAATAGGACAATAGTTGATTGAGAGCACAGAAGATGCAGTTTAACAAATCCAGTAGCATGGACTGAATGGACGAAATGTATTCGCTATAAACGTTCCAAAACAAGATGACAGCGAAAATGTGACTATCGCGCTTGTGAAACTGCGAATAAACCTACCAGTCCTTTCTGGGGGGGGGGGGGTGTTGGGGTATAGTCAAGAAATCACCAGACGCCCGGGAGTCAGGTTTCGTTATGCAGTCGGTGTAATGCATCGCAAGGACACAACGCCTTCTGAAAGTTCCACAGCCTCCCAATACTTAAGGAAGTAAAGTTTCATAACATTTTAATCGACCCTTGAATGAGGCAAACCTTAGAGAGTGGTCGCATATTTTTGAGTTTCGGCTAGGTTTGTGGACTTCTCAGTGAATCGTAAAAGAGCTGAAAATTGTGCTCATGTTTTGCCTTAACCATCCTTACGGATTCGTTTGTCACTAGCTCCGTCCCATGAGGAAATTTGTTCAGCTCACAACATAGCACATGGTCAAGATTACGCGACCAGGTGATGGTCCTCGGGTTTATTCTTTATTACCTGGCGTAACGCGCAGTATTCATGATCCATCTTGGAACTTGATCCGTCGTATTTGGTAATTCGTGTTCATGTATTTGCATGGGAAGGATGGGTAAGCATTCGTTTTGTAACACTCCGTGCACAAGAGCCAAAGTTTTAAAACGCTAACTGCTAAAGTTTCCCTAAAATTTTACTTTTTTGGTATACCTTCACATGTGCTAAACACTTATCATAAATCACAGTTGCACGTAGTCTTCGCAGCACAGATACAGCCCAGATGACTCCAGCACACATCCGTGTTTCTTAGGCAGAAGGTAAGCGTCATTATTATGCAGGTCAGGGCACATTATCCCAGTATGAGGACTACGGCATAAAACCGGTTAAGGCTGGTTTAATTGACTCTACTTGTCGCCATCTAACAGCCCATCGAAAAGAAAGACAAAATCCTGCTAATTAGTTCGTTTATGGCTGAATCCAATTAAATTAACGTACACTGTTTTCATCCCTACTGATAAACGCGTTTGGCAATGCGTTACAGCAATGCGTATTCGCCCCCCCGGTTTTGTTGTTGAAGTCAACCAGCTGAGGATACAGAACTCTGTAGCCGTGAGCGTATTTATCTAACAGCTCACATTCGGCTTGCCCGTGACCAAACAATTACGAGGGAATGTCATCTTAATTTACCGAATGTTTATGTAAAGTAAAGTGGTGGGGTTTCAGGTGCGATATCTTCCATCGCAGCGATGTGAGACAGATATGTATACAGCGGAACATTACTTGCTAGGTTTATTTGAATCATAAGCAGTAAAAACGGCGCAGGTAGATAAATTAACAGTGCTTTTGCATTCAGCCGATTTGTTAGCGGCAATCTACATGAGCCTATACTGATCGAAGTGTGATGATTTCAGCTGGTCCTGTATGAGTCATGAGCCCCAAGTGTTGCAGACATCCGTGGTTGCATAAGACTATGTGTTGTTTCAAGACAATGAATTGACAAGAAACGGTTTTCTTTCAACTTTACGACTTTCCATTGCTTACTGATAGCGTAAATTTTGCAATTCAGCCCCAGCAACGTAGCTGTATCTGTTGTGAATGCATTCTAATTGTTGCAACATGTCGGAACCACATTCATTGACGTTACCTTTGGGACAGTGGGAAAGCGTCCGTGCCGATTTTGCGTATCAGGCTGGGGCATCATTTTTGCCAGGAGTATAAGATGAACAGCACTTTATGTATGTGTGCAAACAATAACTAATGTTTCATGAGAATAGATGGTTGAGGGAGTTAAAAACAGTTAATCTGCACCCTTGTTCCATCCATTGATTGCCATTTTGTCAATTTGAGGCTCGTCAGTCTCCTTAATTCTTTTCGAATCCATTGTTATGCTCACTCACCACTACCCACTTTGTAAGCCATTGGAAGAAATATGAGTCTTGGACAGATAAATTGCTTGTGAACTAGTTAGTAGGATGCAATCCGACATATCTTCCATTAATCTTCTCGCGTTTTTATCTTGAGTCGCGGGATGTCCCACAGAAGGGTTCTCCCAAGGCTGTACCTTTACCTGCTTATTGTTCTCAATGGGACAGGGACCAGAGTTATATAAATAGGCAAACTAACCGACATATTCATGGAGGATCTAGCTCCATTCCAACGGCAGCTGAGTTTGACACGTGGTTCAATTTTAATTGCAGCTATGGATATGAACACTGTTAGTTAGGAAATGAAATTTTTCACGCCATCATAGGCAGAATGTTGTGATAGCCACTAAGGAATCCTAGGACCAGTGGTTCTAATTAAAAGCAATGACATGTTTAACTGATACCCACCTCCATAACCGCGTAGCAGCAATAATGTGCCGCTGTAATGGGCATTAGAACCTACTACCATAATTAGCGCAGAAAGTTGTGTACGCAAGGAGCACTAACTGGTGGATAGAACAGCCAGCGTTGCACTCATCATTCACGGATGTTGTACCTAAGTCGGTCTATATTTGGTCGTTGAAATGCTTTGAGGTGGTTTGCATGCATTTCACTAGGTCACTATTCGCTATATCTTAAAGCCTACTACTTTGTTGCATTTATTTAAATTACATGAGGCCATTAGTAGCTTTATTTAACACTTTTAGGGCGCGCTACAGCCTTTGATTAGAGTACTTCGCAACGTGAAAGGAAAACTGACGCTTATTCGTTATCGCCTAACTGGTACTGAAAACACGTGGAGCAAACAATCGGTGCGTCGTTCGTGTCATTATTTGACTGTTTTCCTGTCTAGCACCTCTGTTTCCAAAAACATTATCCACATTTCTTAAATGTGCCATTTGAAACGCAGCGGCTGAAGAGCCTGTTCAATCTTGATGGAAATGCAGGTCAGGTATTCGTATGGGAAAGTGAAATGTGCATCAGCATCGCTCGCTTAATTATTAAACATGCATCAAATTCTTATTACAATGCTAACTAAATAATCTCTTACCTTTACTCAAGGATTGCAACTTGGCGACCGAAGCAACTTCGTTATACATCGAGGTTGGAGCTGATTACCTCCAAGAGATGTATTGAAGGCTGCGACTACACGTAGTCTCAATTATACAAAACTTTAAACACTGATAGAAGGTATGAAGAAAATACTAGATGCTTTAAGTCCAGGAATTTTGTTTCTAACGTAAACTGTAAGAAAAACCACATCCAGCGCTAATGCACTAACACACTCATCAGGCTGTGGTAGCGTGCAAAGCTACAATACGTTGCTAACTTTTCTGAAGACGCTGATGTGTCGTATTCAAGGCAGAAGATTAAGTCTGCCGAATCACAATATGGTGAAGTGCAACTATGCGAACATTGTAATCCTTTGATTTCATAAGCGTTTACCAATGGTGATAATGATCGACTTAGGTACGTTCTCTGGAACAAGAAATACTGATGGATTTTTGGGTTGAACAGAACTGTGCCCGTGATAATTGCATCGGTTACTTGGTTAGCCGCAAAATTCCGGAACCCTCACTGTTCCTGAAGCAAAGACCCGATCTACCTGCGTAATGCCTTGGTTGGAACATTTCGTTATCTTGGATCTTCCTTCAAGACTAACTAGAACTGCACCAGTGACTTTAAATCATGCCTCCAAGATTGTTGTAATCTTATATATATATATATATATATATATATATATATATATATATATATGGATTTTTAACCGAACTCTTAAGAATCGTTATGACAAGAAAGGGAACACAAAAGCCAGACAACTGCTTCTCATCTTTAGCGCTAGGTTGCAAATTCCTAAAAAGAGGTCACAACGGAATAAGTCAGTATATTTTTGGTCTAGTTCTGTGCGTTCGGTTGGAAATATAGTCTCAGTCTATACTCAGAGAATTTCAAACGTTCCTCGGTCGTTACTGCAACCCTGCGCATAATCAAACTTTGCGTACTAGTTGGTTCTTCACTCCAACGCTATACCTAGCTAACCTTGTATGCTTACTTATAAACTTTGTGAAGAAACTGTGGGAACAGATATTATAACCGTGGTGTCTAGGTAGTTACGTAAAAAATTATGGAACTTGAACGCCTGATTTGTGACGATCATTCTAGCACATGGACCACCCAACATTTTGATTATTTGCGGGTAAACAGTATGATAGTGGCTGTTTGTCTGACTAAAAGTTCTCAAAATGTATCCTACGCGGAGGCTAAAGCAAGCCAAATGAAGAGTTTATTAGTTACTTTTGATATCCCCTGATTCAGTGATGGTTGTTTGATCCGTTTTCCTAGCATGACTTGACTGCATCTATGACGAAATGCACAACGTGCCCACTATCAATGTCACTGTACTGTTATACACAGCTAACATTAGTATAGAATTTCTGTCGAAAGTAGGTACTGGGTAATTTCTTGGTAGTTCACAATTACAGTTCGTTGGCTCTGAACTTGCTGTGAAGTATTACCTATTTGCTGAAAACTCAGTATTTCGTATTATAAAAAGCCTTGCTTATCAAGGATGCTAAAGCAGATTCATCCACTAGTATATCAAAACAAATCAAAAAAGATGAATATATTAACAGTTGTGACTCCTGTAAAATACAACCGGTGATTACATTTTTGCAAATAAATTTTGACTCAAATGTAACTAGTTGTCAACCTGGTGTTGGATTTGTACATTCAAGTTTCCCTAAATGTACTGTGTTTCTGACCGCTATATCTTCAGCTTCATGCACAACTGAACCAGAATGTGATTAATTACTACTCCGAGGCGCTGCGGCTGGCTAGGCCAAAGATCCAGGTCCCCGATCACGTAGGTTGCTCGCCAGTGCAGTCAACGCTGCTTAGGACTGCGGACGGATTATTGGTCAATCACAAGGATGGACCACATGTTCCCTATACTCATGGTCAAATGGTTCACACGTATCTAAAGGTGAGTGCTCTCATTTGGCCCATGTTCTATTACTTTCTACGTGATCATGAGGTTTAAAAGAAATGCTCTGGGTACTCAAAACAAGTGGAATCTGTTGAACTTACTATGCCCACCGTTAGCTTGAATGTTGCCGCATTAACTCAGGCACTCACGAAAACAGATTCATTCGCCAGTCACTAAATTTGTACACCAGCAAAAATCAGGAGGCACATTTAGTTCAAACTATATCTTAACGCAACTATCGGTTACGTTTCTTCATCCAGACACATACCATGCAGTTTCACAGACCAAAGTGTATCACCTGAGTCACTTGAGTCTTCCGTTTTTCCTACCTTCAATTCTCAGTACGCTTCTATGGGTGTGCGCAGATGTGAATGAAAGCTCACCAACAGATTTGTGTTACCAACTGGATCCTGCGAGTAGGAATCTGACCCTAAACGTGGCATTTTCAACAGATAGCGTCTTTTGAATAAAAGTCGTCTATGGGCGCATGCTTTAGAATGCTGAAAATGACTGTGTGTACCAGCGGTGTCAGTTTAGTGCTACACGATCCGTTGCCAAATGTGACCAAGGGGTGATTACTGATTATTGATCGGAAGCAGTAAGAAGAAAGATCTTTGTGTAGCTGCATCTAATGTCACTCAGGGACAAAGACCCGTTATGTTGGAGTGTGCTCGATATGTTTTATATTGGCAAAGTGTTTGCTCATGATTTCCTAAAATTCCGACACCGACTTTGCCTCAAATACGTGCTGCGACAGGTTGTTCCATACATTCACTACTCTGCCTTGGAAACAGATTTGGTGAGCGATCCGCATCAAATCGGGTACTACAAGCTTGTACCGGTGTCCTCGTGTGCTGCTTGGTATACACAGCTGAATTAGCGGTTTCAACATGGGGTAATCTCCCAGATGTAATCTCCAGTGCGTCACGATGAGGTCAACCCGCAGTCAACGACAAACTACCGTGTAAATCCCTAGTTTCTTACACCGTCTTTGTACGGCGCACCTCTCAAATTTGGAATCAGCCTGGTGGCAACATGCTGTAATTGCTCAATCTTTTCTACCTCGCCCCGGGTGATAGGACAATACGCAGGAGAGCCATACTCTAGCATTGGTCGTATTATGGAGCCGAAAAGGCGAGTGGCACACTTCGGACCAAGTGCTGAAGCTGCTCCTGAGCGCCCAAACCGTACGAAGGCTGTTTTGGTAAAGTCTATTCGTGTTGTCCATGGACTTTAGGTCTTAGCGTGAAAGTACACCGAGGTCTCGCACGAAAGGCGCGCAATGCAACGGTTGACCTGCCACTTTGTATGTTTGACTGTGCTCACATTTACCCATATTCATGAAATGCGACTTGACCGAGTTGCTCCGAAGGTTGACCTCTGCAGATCACGTGGAGAGGCAGTCGAGGTCCTTCTGAAGCAGGTCATAGTCATTGGGTGCGCGGATTACTGTCCAGACCTTCAACCCATCTGCGAACAATGCACAAGGTGAATGGAGTAGCTGAGACACATTGTTTACATGGATCAGAAACAAAAGCGTCCATAGTACAGTGCCTAGGGGCACGCCATTGCTCGATGGATACCAGTCGGTCAAGTGGTTATCAACTTGGACCCTCCACTTTAGATCAACAAGGAAATTCTCGATTCATACGTGCAGCAAGCCGCCAACACCGTACACCCTTAGCCTGTCGAGGAGCATTGCGTGATTCACCTTCTCAAAAGCCTTACTGAAGTCAATGTAAATGACGTCGGCAAACTTGCCTTGGTTCAGCGCTTGCAACCACTCATATCTCGTCAACAGTAGGTTGGTGATGCACGAGCGACCTTTCAAAAAATCATGCTGTGCAGGCATCAAGCGGCTTTTCGACTCGAGAAGCTGCAGAAGACTCCGCTTCATGATCTTCCCAAGCCTGTTTGCCAAAACAGCAGTCAGAGTGGTCGGACGGTACTTTCAGTATTGGCTTCAGGACTGAGCATTTTCAGTCGCCCGGTGACCTTTTGAACGGCTCAGTTACAGAAAGCGAGATGATGGCCGATAGGGACTTGAGGATCAGTGGGTGGATTCCATCTGGCCCGACAGGCTTCGTCCCGTCAAGACTTGCTAGAAGCTTGCGAATATCTTCAATGCTGCAATCCAGGCTGTCTAGTTCAGCGGAAGCGGTACTCGTCGAACTCGTTACAGACACGTGGTCCCTTGCAAATACGCCGGCGAAGTGGGCCGCCAATGCGGACGCACGATCCGTGCTCGAGGTTAAGGGCTGTACATCTGAGCCTTCCAACACTGGCACATTGCCTGCCGGCCTCAAGCGACGCTTCATGATGGCGAACACCCACTTGGGAGTGGTTTTTGCGGAGGTTGCCAGCTGCCCTTACAAGCTTCGGCGCCTTTTGTGTTCGCGTCATTGCAGAGGTTTCGCTCTACATTGTACGCCTTGTACTCCTCGTCAGCGTCAGATAACACGAATTACTTCCATGGTCTGTGTCGTCGTCGGGTCAGTTTGCTGTACTCATTCTCGAACCAATGTGACTTGACTGGCCCAACGTTCCGATATTTTAGAGGTACAAATCGTAGCGCACAACGAGTTCCCTCCCAATTTAATGGTAGCCAAACAGGTTTCCACAGACGAATCCTTCCGTCACGACCACTCCATCTGGCTCGCTGTACGAGTGACGCCATTAAAGTCAGCCTTCCAATAGTTGAAAGCTGACTCCAGTGGAGGAGAACACGGCAGCGGCAGTTCCAAGCTTGCAATGATCATCAAGTGGTCTTTCTCTACCAGGGGCTCTAAGACTTGAATGTCATGTACATGTTGCTCACAACTGGTCAAAAACAGATCTAAGCACGATGCAGTTACGCGAGTGGTTATGCGCGTCGGTTAATTAATGTGCTGTGTGGCCCTAGTTTTAAATATCAACTCCGCAAGCTTCCTCTCGACTTCACAGTGACCGAGGAGAAGTTCTGCCTCAGGCTACTGCATGCAGGGTAAGTTGAAATGGCCCATGAGTGGGAACAGCGGACGACTCATTTGGTTGCAAACATGAGGCAACCAGTCCAAGCAGCGGCTTCATGGATTGCGATATACCACGCCCACACACATCTAGTAGCATCTGTGGTGAATCGAACGCAATAACTGCTCACATAGACGATCAGCGCGTCGGTGGGTACTCACTAGTTTCCCACACAAGGAAGACTTTATGTAAAGCAGGACGTCACTACGATCATTTACTGGTCTATTACAACGGAAGCACGAGTAACCGCTGATTTCTACTTCTTGGGCGGTTACGTCTAGTTTAAGCATGTCACAGCAACACCTAAGACGTCTGGCCGCTGAGAGGTTACGAAGTAGCACAGCTTATTGCGTTCGTTTATCAAACTGCAGACATTAGGAAACGCTAGGCGCAGGCTGTGATAGGAACCGCTAGGCGCGCCTGAAGCATCAGAAACCTGTTGATCCGGATTCGCGGAGGAATCCGGATGACTACCCAAAAAGTTACAATACGGCGATTTGTGGCTCCATCGTCCGTGCGTTGCTTTAGTTTAATCATCGCAGACCTGCGTTTCTCTCTGGCCGCTGAGTCTAAGTCAGCGCGCACGCGGATCTTTATACTTTTCAGCCTATTCATACGGGACAATATTAACTTGGCACTTACCTCTTCATGAAAGGTCACCCTCATATGTCGACTTTTCCCTCTGTTCTCTTTCCGAGACGAGCGATCTGTTTCACTTTCAGCCCGCCCTCATCCACGTCGAGCAGTCTATCAATCTGGGTTTACAGAAAGTTGATGTCATGTTCACAGCTCACCAGCGGATTGGAATCACAGGATTCAGATGCATAAAATACCATGAGACTGCGGCGCCTCAGGTTGCTGGACATTGTTATTGGTTTCTTTTGTAGTTGCATTCTCCATGCGTTATCACCAATTTGCTTATTGCTAATTAGAGCTTTAGTAACAGCTGTAGAAATCGTTGGCGTTGAAGCCGAGCTTGCCGGAGCGCAAGTAGTTTGCTCCAGGGATAGATTCGTAGCCGTACTAAATGTTGGCTGTTTCACTAACTGGAAAATTCCCATTTTATTATCAAGAACAAAAGACCGAAGGTAAATAATTGTTTTCGATGATTCATCTTCAGACCCGTACAATCATATGAGTGAAGTAGCAATGGGGGTAAAAGTGGATTAGATCCATTCAACTGAGATGGAATCATGTGCCAACCAAGGGCGTGAACCAGCAACAGAGGGCAACCTAGGACAAAGGTGTAGTTGCACAATGACAGTTGCCCCCAGAAAGATCCGTTTTGTCTGGCCAATATAGCCTAACAGGTTCGAGCAGCTTCGTTTGTGCACACGAAAGCGGTTGATACAACCGAATGCTGATCGCCTCGGCAGTAGCAAGGCTATTTCGCTGATTGTGGTGCAGGAAAAATCGCGTTGCGCGTTTTACCGCACTTTTACTCTACTGATCCGCCTGTCCGGCTTTTCGGCCTCTTTGTGTCCAAACTTAGACTGACACTACTTACAAATGATCTTCAAAAATCGTTCCAAATGCCTTGAATTACGCGAAAATGGTCCACAGGCTTACCAATACACGAAATATGTAACATTACGCTGTATAAACTGCATGTAGTCGCATTTGCGCGGTGTCCAACGACTTTGGAGTACCTACCACAAGGTGTCTGCATTGCCCATTCAAACTAAGTACCGATCGATACGACTAACAGCGTAATGTAGAAGCGTAGAAAGTGCAAAACCTTCTGTACGTATTTTTGTTCGTCGCAATCAGCCGACAATTCAGATATGTCGACCAGCTGTCCGGAAAAGCACTAGACGGCCGTTTTGCCTTATTGGGGCTCATCAGTGGTGCGCATCCTTCCGTCCTCTGTGGAGGATCGAACCCATGACTGCTAGTGACTCTTGCCAACTAGCCCGCAGCTTATGCAACTGCGCCATGGAGGACGGTATCTGACTATCGTGAATTGTTAGCTAAATGCGATATAGCCC